TACTGCAAGTGATTAACGTTTGGGACTTTTATGTTACGCAGAGTAACATTAAAATATCCTGACATTAAAAGTGATACGAATAAATTTATCTATATATTTATACATAAAAATCTGTGCCTTTTAGCCAGCATGACTTCCAGAATATGAAGACTTAACAAATGAAAATGGAGTTTTGGGCAGTTGATGTCTCTGGGAAAAAAAAAAAAAAAAAAAAAAGAGCCAACAGAGCACTCTCTTTTAAGCAAGTTTTCATTCCCTGATAACACCAAAGCTATCAAGGACTGGGGTTAAGCATTGTGCGACAGGGCAAGCCTCTAAAATGGGCAAGAGCAAGATGAATTGGCTAAGTCGGGTGTTTATTTATACAAACAAGAGGGCAGAACATAATTTAGTTGCATCAGGAATTTTTCACAGACATTAAAACTATAGCAAACATAACAGCGGGGATGCTTGCACAGCAGCACAGTGGGGAAGCTCACAGAGCGTCTGCCCACACTACGGCTGGCTGTAGCCAGCGCCATAAGTCTCACAATTTCATTAGCACTCGAAAATCCACCTAAACTACTCAATTCCGATTAAAAAAATTTAAAATAAATGAAATAAACAAACGAAAAAAGCCCCAGACAAGACCTGTCTTTCTCTCGGCAGCTGAATCAGTCATGAATTGTTGGAAAAAAAATAAAACCAACAACTCTTGGCAGGCAGATTTTGCTGTAGCAACAGTGTATGACGTTTTAACCACAGCAGAAATCTTATCCAAAAAAACAAAACAAGGTGAGAAGAGCCATGTAAGAAAATCAGAGAAAACCATGCCTAAAAAACCAACAACAAAACATAGATTAGGTGGCAGATCAATAGTTTCATATTTCATGCAGAATCATAAATCACTGTTTTTTTCAGCAGTTCAGCTGCGAGGCTCGAGAGCATAAAAAGAAACCATGGCTCGTGATAAAATTAGGCATTAATGTGAGCCATAAATGCCATTTAACATTAAACATGCACAAGCCACTGAAATGCCTGGTGAAGGGAAATGGGCGCTATAGTAAAACTATACAAAGTAAGTCAGACATGAATAATGCAGCAGGTCTGAGGAGGGTCACGGGTCAAACTCCAGTACCTTACAAAATAATGAATGCATGTCAGGTTAGAGACATGCATCCTTTCCTAGCAAACGTGAGTTATTGGAGATAAACCCCGCACTTCCTGTTCTGAAACAAAGTGGCTTGTTGTAAACATCTACGTCCATTTAAAATTAATGATTAAAAGAAAGATTTGGTGGGATTTGCTTAAGTATTCTTTATGGACACAAGTGCTAAAGGTTACTTTCTTCATTCATTTTTACCCAGCCACTGTTAATGTTACAGACACATCATGTTTTCTTCTGTGCTCAAATGTTTATCCAAAGCTCATTTACAAAAGAGCTTATATAATATTAAGTGGGATTTTTCAATGCATTCTTCATTGAAATATAAACAAGAGAGCATCTCCACAGTTTTGTTCTGTTAAAGGGAGCCAGCCCTATTTTTAAAGGCAGTAACCCAAATTCTAAATATATGTTCTATGAAAATACTACATGGAAAACCATCTGCGATTCACTTCATAGTATCCTGATCTGCTGAAATTATCACCTACATCTTCCATATTTTGCCCAACAAATGCAAAAAGGATTAACCATCCTTTCATTATTTGATATATGTGATCATGACAGCTCTTTTCCTTCAGAAATCTTCACAGATTTTCACCAGTCTTCACAATAAAAAGTGTATAATGAAAATTAACATTATTTCAGTTTATACAGAACTGGTCTGCTTCATTTTCTAGACTTAGCTGGAGAATTTAACAGCTGTTTGGAGTATTTTCCTTCCTTTGCACCCTGTACTGCCAGGCTTCTTAATCCAGTGCAAAGAGGGAGATACCTTCTCCACAGCTATTTATACAAATCCATGTTTAAGGATTTCCTCTGTCCTTTTGAGCACAGTAAAGAGAAAACCTCAAGAAAAATTAAATTAAAAAATCTTTCTACTTAGGAATCCGAAAGGGGAAAATTTCTAGGAAAGTGAAACTCAAGGCACTACAGAAAGAAAGCAAATACCTAGGTATTGCAAATGAAACATAAGATCTTGCATCTGATCTGTTAAATATTCCATCAACAAGGTCAAGAGTAAAGACGAGCCCAGCCACAAAAAATGAAGCGAGAGCAAGCTTTAACAAAAAAATTAAACAGTTTATCCTCTTCAGCTTCTCAAGTGGAAAAACAAATTCTTTTATACTAGAGAAAAATCAAGCGTGTATATAGCATTTAAAAAAAAAAAAAAAAAAAAAAAAAAAAAACAACAAACACCAATATCAACCATTTTAATGAAAGAGTACCCAATATTTTCATGGAACTATAAAAGGGAGTGAGACTAAGTGTTATGGCAAAAAGCCTGGGCTCAGCAGCTTTGTGTGGGAAATGGTGAAATGTGACTGTGATTTATAATGAGAAAAGGTATCTACAACATACAATTTTCTACCTAGCTGCAAATAATAATTCATAGTGATGTCCCTTCCAGATAAAATACCTTTGCAATGTAGGACTCATGTGGTAAAATGATCATGATAAATGTCAGACCAGTGCAGGTAACGGCTTTACAAACCATTAAGATTAGCTGGCTCTTTTTTTTTGATGATAACAGTAACCATGCTGTGACTCTATGTGGTAATAATATCTCAGTACTGATAAATGCCAGAGCCAGGCAGAGGTGTTTATCATTCTCAGTTCAGAAATGCTGACTAAAGTTACCACATGTTGCCTGGTTTTTCTTCTTTTACAATAGACTAACAATTAGCAAATAGACTGATTCACAAAACAATTTTATGCAAAATTTCTACAAGTTTTGTGCTTTAGTGCCTATCTCAAGTTCTCTTCTCCTGTGAACCAGTACCGATGACTTTGGTACAATAAGCCCTAAAACAAAGCTTTCTACTCTTGCCATTCTTTCAAGAAATAATTTAACAATGCTTTTTTACCTTATTTCTTTTACAAATACATCTTGTAAGGAAGCGCAACCTCTGTAATGTGGCCGTTTCTGTAGGGAAGGTGGTTATCAAGCTGGCATCGGTGTTAATCAACACAGAGCAGAGACATTTCCTTCAAGATACCATGATAAAGTTTTACTGTAGGACATTTCCTTGCAAACGGACAGACAGCGAGCCTTTCCTTCCATTGAGTCTTTCCCTACCTCAGCGTTCTGGTTCCACTCGAGTCCACTGAATTCTCGAGAGAAAACAGAATTCAAAAATAAACTAATTGAGAATCTTTATGAGAGAAACTGCTGTAAGCAACAGAGAGGGCAGCCCCGATCTAAATATAACTTATCTGGTAAGATCATGTGGCATGCACACACACCAAGCAGCACAACTTAAAAACCCAAAGAAATTTTTACCCCCTTCCTACAGTAAAGTCACTTCTACAAATTTTCATTCATAGCTTCAGTCATATTTCCACTGGACAGATCATCCATGGGGCAAAAATAAAGAGTATGAATGGCTTGTGGCAGAAGACATCAAGGGGCGACCGGGTTGAAAGACTCAGGGAGTTTGTGCTGTTCAGAAGTTAAGGTTCTATATTATTCAGATCAGGACAAGAGTAAAATACACAGAAATTGTATTATTTGTGCGTAACTTCATTGTCAGTATTGACAATTGCATGACTTCCTATGGAATAAATCTATATGAAAGTTTTTGGGTTTTTTTATAGGAAAATAATCCCTATGCATTGACTACTTTGAACTCTTGTCTTTCATATCTATATAAATGTTCAAATTATAAACAATATATATACATCTATATCTGTGTGTACGAAATATTAATCTCAACAGGAATTAAGAATACATGATGAGGAAGGAACATTAGCTAACCAATTGTAATTTTAAAATTCAATTTGGTGGCAGGAAAGTTTTGCTTGGAATTTTTTTTTTTTTTTTTTTGGTAAAATCTTTGAATTAAGGCACTAGTCACCATGCATGCTTATGCAGCACCTACTGCAACTGGGATTCAATCCTGATTGAGATCTCCGGGTGCGAGGGTAATATGAATATTAAAAAGGAACATATACGAAGAATGATAGGTGATAATTAAATCATAGATGATAAGATCAGAAAAGTATTCTCAGGTTATCTAGGGCATGTAACATGCAAGATGCTTTCCCTACGTCAGACCTACTGGCACCTTATCTAATCTGTTCCTAAACGAAAGCACAGTTGTACATGACTTTGTTTTAGTTGCAACATCTTGTACAAATCGATGAAAATATCAGTCAAACCTTTCCCACGAAACTATGAATCATACCGAAACAGGAAGGTATATCTTAACAAAAAGGACAGCAATTTTCTTATCACCTCAAAGGAGAGATTAAAGCCCTTAGTATTGCATTCTTTACTACTAATCATAAGTTTGAAACACAAAATTTTTTACAGGTATTAGAAAATAGCTACAGTGGAATAGTTTCTCAAAACAATTGATCACCAGAAAGCACAACTAAAAAGAACAGCAAAGCATTTTATATTTCTGAACATGTTCATGTTCAGGATAGAGATGCATAAATACAGCTGATTTAATTACGATGAGAAAAAAAACAGACAACGAGGACTACCTAGGAGGTCCATCCACCACAGATGCTGCACCACTGGACAACATTTAAGATGCGTGTCCCTTACTACTTGGAGGTATTTTAGCTTAGGATGATGGTCTAATAATCAAATAAAATAAATGATAAGCGTAAGAATATAATTCCGTGAACCAGAAAATGCTTCCTTAAAATTAAGAGAATTTTTGATCCTTGTAAATTACTCTTGCTCTCTATTAAGGTGACAGAAGTTATGATATATTCTGGTTTTAATCATATGTTAATGACGGTTTTTCTTGTTCAGGTACCAGCTACAGTACAGGGCAAAGTAATATCCTAATGTGACATTCAAGTGGTTATTTTCTCTTTTTTTGTTGTTTTTTTTCCCTCTTAGAAATCCAGGACAACGCCACTCGCATCAAATCCATAAGGAACCTGGTAAAAAAGCTCCCTAGGCCAAACTATGACACAATGAAAATCCTTTTTGAACATCTAAAGAAGTAAGTAGAACTGTGGTGCTAACAGATCAATAATTCTGAAAGGAATCTGTGTGTGGTGTCCTAATCCTATTGGAAATGTCATCCAAAATACCAAAGATAATTATGTTCTTTGGCAAAACTAAGCATGATTTATGGGGTATCTATGTATATCCTATTCCTGCTCAAGAGATCAGTACGTCTAAGCAAAAGACCAAATTTTTCCTCTACTAGAAAGCAGAAAAGTTCTGTTTCCTTCAGTGCAGTCAAACACATCTGGATTACTATGCTACAGGTATAATGAATTGGGCAAGTGAAATTTGGTTTACTTTCTCCAGCAATAGACTTTTGGATCACCATGTTCTCACCCTTCAGAACCCTCCTGTTCAGTCGTATTGATCTTGTGATATGCTGAGGCACATAACAATAGGAATAACCTCACCCAAGAAAATACGCTTTGAGCTCTTGTACCTCACAAGGAAGCTTGTGACAACACAGAACATCTAAGACAATCTAAGGAGAGATTTGGAAGTGCACCTTTGCTCTCCTAACATTGCTGAGATACTAAAGAGGCAGAAAAATGGCACGGGGAGGCTCTCTTATCATTCCTCTGTGGTTTCCACGCTCATTGAGCTCCATTTTCAAAAGATGTCAGCCCACAAAGTCAACCCAGGATCTTGCGTTCACCGTGAGCTTCTTGTGCTTCACGGCATTAACGGTAAAGATGTACGTAGACCGTGTGCTCACATGGAAACCAGCTTGTAGCAGTTTGACTTGCAGAACGACTGGGCAAGAAGTGGAAGACCTCAAGACAGGAGCACATGAAGGGCAGGTCCTGTTCCTTCAAGGCTGTCCTGCTGTTGGGACCAACTGGTGCCATTTTGTACAGTAATTTTTCAGCCAAACTACCCTTAAATTTGAAGGGACTAAGTAGGATCTAGGGCCCCATGAAGGGCCTGTACACAGAGGAGTATTTCATCCCAGGAATGATATAATGACCCCAGTGAGTGAGCAATAAAGACTCCAAATAAAAGACTACACTGAGCTTATAATGAATGATGCCTTTATACTGATCATTTCTGCTGCATTCTCCTGGCATATACATGTAAGAGATGTAGATCCTTTATCTTGTTTTTCAGCTTCCAGTTGAAACTGCAAAATGAAGTCCATATAGTCATGGAAACGTTCCCATTTCATTAAGCATGGAAGGATTTTAAAGAGTCCATAAAATGACTGAGTTTGGCCTTGCAGAAAACCAGTTTTCTATGTATTCATCTGATGTACCGTGCGCACACATTCTCTCCTTCAGAGGGTTATCTAGAGAGGGATGATAATTTATTACAGTCGATGGAAGAATAATAAGGGAAATTATTTCCTGGGAAGAACCTGAGTGCAAGAAGTGGGTACACGCTGTCAGCACAGATATACCATATACAAAATTTACTGCACCATATGTGGCATTGATCCTAACCTGAAAAAAGTTTTGTTACCATGTCTTAGGGGAGAGATATCAGGTATATGAAATAAGTCTTTTGATCTCATAGTTAAATCACTTGCTTGAGGCTCGGGAGATGTGGGTTCAGTTCTTGGCTTTGACCGGATGTTCTGGGTGACCTTGGGTAAATCACTTAATCTCTCTGTGCCTTGGTTCCTTGTTTACAAAATGATGATAATACTTCTTTTGTCTGCCCTGGCTTTTTAGAACATAATCTGTTTGGGACAGCAATTGTTTCCTGCTGTGTATGTGTAGAATAACTGGCAAAACTAGACCAAGACTGGTAGGTTTTGGAGAAAAGAAAATAAAAGGAAATAAACCCCACACTAATACGCAAAAAATAAAATACTAATACTTCATAATGCATGCGTGTGCAATACTGAGCTTGACTTCAACTCCATAAATATAGTACTACCTAAATAAGCACATGCTCTTACCTAAGTGTCACCGCAGAAGCATGACAAAGCTAGAGGTATACTGACTCAAGAGAGTGGCACAGAGTGATGGAAGGCAGAAAGATGTGATATTTGAGTCATTTGGGGGTCTGAGCATTATGGGAGCAATCACGAGTCTCCCTGAAGGTCAGCCTTCTCTGCCACACAAACACATCCTCAGGGAAGGATAGGGCTATTCCATAAGCTTTGCTCCATTGAAATGGAAGCAGCAGTAGAATCGATACTGAAAACACAAAAAAAAAAAAAAAAAAAAAAAAAAAAAAAAAAAAAAAAAGTATGTTTTCTTGAATTTGTCAGTCTGAAAGACAGAAGCCAGCTTGAATGGCTTCATGACTCCATAAATGAGAATAAAGAAGCATACATACGTTTTTAGTAATGACATGATGTTAATATTATGTAAATATAGGCAATGTGTATTTGCTTAAATCAACCTAGGAAACAAGACTAGCTTGCAGAGGTTACAAGACATAGGTTTACATCTCTTTTAGGGCTACTCTTTAGAAGAGGGGTGCCAATGTGCATGATGGACCAACCTCACCACTGACATGCGCCTTGCACCATCCTCTTCGATCATAGGTTTTTCTCAATGTAAATCACAGAAGGTTCAAAAGTTTCTGATTAGCTAAAAAAAATAAGGATACTGGTTTAATTTAAGGCACGTTACTGCAATTTTTGTATTTGCTGGTGGAGATGGCTGTTGTTGCCCACCGTTGAACTGGGCTTTCTGATGGAGAGAAGCTGGAGGACCATAGTTACGCTGTTTCTGCGGTATTCCCCTCTTTCTCCTATCCCTTTCTTTCCGCTCTATCAGATAAAAAGAACAGGGCTATTCGGACCTGGGCCATGGGACTGCGTAAGCCTGTGACTTCTGCACAGCACGTGAGAGTGCACACAGAAGCTCAGCATGAGAATACAGCCTTTGCCCAGAAGGCTATGCTTCCCCTAAATCACTGACAGCAGCGAGCTCGCACTACGGTTTCATTCTGGGGCGATCCAGTCTGCAGGAGTGGGTCCAGATCAAGCGCAAACAACAATGTGAAATGCACTTCAGAAGGGTCCTCCTTTAGAAACCCAGACAAAGCAGCTGATGAGAGAGTCTGCGAGAAAGGCCTGGCAGCAGGGATTAACACCAGTGCCATATAACTTTCTTAAAGCAAACCCTCTGAAGCTGCAAGAAGTCACAGTGCAGCGTATGAAGCCCACAGGAGGGGGATTAAAAGCAAAGCTTGAGGTTGCAGTACCTGTTCTTTTAAGGTTTTTTTTGCATTTGATGGGAAAAAAACCAACCCACCAATGTCCCCTGCTCGTCTTTGCATTAAATTTATTCTACTCATAAGCAGAAGAGACAAAATATGGGGCTGAACAGACATATCACATAGCACTTGACAGTCTAATACCATAAAAAATTGTTTTATTAGGACTCATACTGAAAATAACTGAGCACAACTGCTATTAGTCTATCTCTACTTCTTCCTGAAGATGAGCAAATCAAGCCAATGTACTTTACACATGAAAGAAATAACAAACCCAAACTGAGTAGGGATTTTCCCAAATAAAGGGCTACAGAAAGCAACCTGTTCTGCTTGAACATGTTTAGAGAGTATTTGCTTGCTATATACTGCTTCTATTTGCCCACATGCTGCTGTCTCATACATTTGTGAAAACAGCACCCCAGTTCCCCAGGACTCCGCTCCTTCACGTTGCCGATCTAACAAGTGAATTTTACTCCCAGAGTGAGCTAATGGCTGGTACCAGATAAAACTGATATCCCTTTCTGGTCCTGTTTTACAGGCATAGACAGGACATCAAATAATGCAGAAACCTTGCGCTGGCTCTCTGCATTGAGCACAACCAATGCCTATCTGATAAATCATTATTTGTACCCAGTAATTTACTCACAGTTCAAGTGAGACGGAACAAAAAATTAGCTCTTTAAGGATCCCACAGTATTTTATGATTAGCCCCTAACCTGCTTTCACAGCAGCATCTTGAGGCAGCTATTACACGCTCATCGGGAAACTGAGGCACGAGAAGTTTAAATGACTTAAAGACTCAGCATAAGCCAGCAGTAAAATCTAAAAGCATGGAGGTTTGGTTTTTTGGTTGGGTTTGGTTTTTTTTTGTTTTTTTTTTTTTTTCCTGTTTGCAGAGAAGCTTCTCCAGTGACTGCAAAATACTTTTTCCTCCCTAATGCAAAATGCAGCAGGGAAGAGGAGCACCCTGGCTGGGTTCTACGCACCATGCTCCGAGCTGGCAAGGGCGGACGCAGCTCTGCTCCAGAAGCTGTGTGCCTGCATTATACAGCACTGTGCCTGAGCTAATAAGCTGTGCTTATTAATGTTAAATTAATGAATCTCAGCCTGCTCTGCTTATTAGGTTGAGCTCCGTGCCACCGCAAGGCAGCTCTGCGACTCCCAGACCAGAGCTGTCTCACATCTGACCAGGCTGGAGCACAGGGCAGCCAAGCTTGAGTCTGTCTTTACCCATCCATGTAGGCACCCCTGCAAGGGGATATACTGCACACAAACCCCCTCTCTTTGCTTCTTATTTTCCCTCACAAAGGCAGGATAACACGTGTTATTTACAAAAGTATAAAATGGATGTTGAAATAATTAAATGGGAAGACAGGGGCCAGCCTGACGTTACCATCCCTCTCCCTTACGTGGAAAGCACTGAACCCAGATGCCCAACTGTGGAAGATATTCTTCCAGCAGCAGCATCTGCCTCCTTGGCAGGCACTTCAGGCAAGTTGTCTGGGGAGCTCTGCAGTTGCCTCTTGGTTTATCACGTGGATCTGTTACTGTGGTCTATCTGGCTGCCTTGTCCAGGCAGAAGGCAATTCCTTTTGATTCACCTTTGAGTCCAAGAAACTCCATTTTGCTCCATTTTTCCCATACTGTACATAGCATGGCAAGACATTTTCAGATGCCATTCAGGCTTTCTGTCTTTTCAGAGAGAGAATGATGATTTTCTTTCTGATCGCCTTCCCCCCCCCGCCCAAATTCTTCATTCTTACTAGTAATTGTTTGCATCAGTTTCATTGGAAATAAGCTCCTCATCAAGAACAGAACTTT